AGATTGTTGCCCCATATTTGGGAAGTTTTCTGCTATTACTTCTGCCCATATTCTTTTTATATCATTTGTATTGACTCCTTCCTTCTCATTGATGCCTATCAGTCTCACATTGTTCATCTTTGCATTGTCTTGCAGTTATTAAATTATTTTTTCTTGCATCCCAGTTGTTTTTAAGAGATCTTTTCTTGCTTTTTCACTAACTGCAATGGTGTCTTTAAGGTCAGAAAATCTATTTTCACTTTCACTCAAATGGTTTTGCCAGCTTGTGATTGAGGTTTTAATTTCCTGTGTATCACTTTGAATCTGTTTCATATATTCTATTTCTTTCCTATATTGCTTATTCAGGGGTTCCATCATTTTTATATTCTGCTCAATTTTTTTATCAGTGTATTCTTTAGAAGCACTTAGTACTACTTTGATTATAGTTATCACTACTTTTTTTAGTTCAGAAATTACCTTTTTTTTTCTTCAGAAATTATTTCTGATCTGATTTCTTCTATACCTTTCTGCAGTTGTTTCTTTACTTCCAACGCTGTTATTTCAGAGATTTCAGATGTATGATTACCAGTTTCCTCTATGCTAGTGTCTTCTGCATTTGTATGGGTGGACTGGGGGCCTGAGACTGCATTTTGTTCCTTCTCTTTGTCATTTTGTATACCACTGTCTTCTGACCTTTGGTGTAGAGTTAGATAGAGTTATTACTTTAGCACCAGGTCTGGATCTACAAAGTTCAGATTCCTCCAGGTGGGTGTTACTTGGATCTGGCTTGGGTCTGGCTGCTGTGCTTGACTTCTGCTGTGCTCGACTTCTTCCCGCTGCAGCCCTTGGAGTTGAACCCTTTGTGTTACTCTGGCAAGATGTTCTGCTCCTGAATCTGCTGGGTGGTTTTTGCCTCTAGCCTCTTTGCAGGGAGTTCTGCTGAAGGGTTCCATGCTGGGCCTGCACTCTGGATCGAATGAGGATCCAATGGGCCCCGGGTGGTATCATTCACAGGCCAGGCCTGCGCTCTGGGTCAGTTCAGGATCCAGCGGCCCTGGGTGGTCTCACTCATACTCTGGGCCTGCGCTTTGGGTCTACTGGGAAAGTCAACAGTTCTCTATGATGAACATTTAGGTTACTCATCCTTTTTGCTATTAATTAATTTTATTAATTTTGATAAATATTTTGTAGTATAGAAAATTAAATCAGATTTTTTTTTTTTTTTTTTTTTTTTTTGTATTTAGTACAGGGTCTCACTACACAGATTGTATTTATAGGGATCCTCCTGCTTTCAGCTTCCCAAGCACTGGGATTACAGACATGCACCACCATACCCAGTCTCAATTGCCTTGTCTCAGTGTGCCCTAGGGGTGGAGGCAGGGGTGGCACAGCATACCATGGATTGAACCCGGTCCCTGCATCTGTCTAAGCAGGTACTTCAATCTGCTGAGCTATCTGGCTGGCCCCCAATTTTTTTTTTTTTTGAGACAAGGTCACTGTGTAGTTCAGGCTGGCCTTGAGTTCACTGTGTGGCCCAGGCTGGCCTTGAATTCAGTGACCTTCCTGCCTCAGTCTCCTGAATGCTGGGATTACAGGGGTATGCCACCAGCCCAGGTGTCGTGCGCGGCCTTGCCTGCAAGAACGACGCGACCACTGGTTGGTTTTCTGTGCAGCTCTTTATTGTTCCCTTACATCCGTCTTCTTCCCCCCGAGGCCCCTGCTCTTAGCTTATAAGTCCCAGGGCTTCCAACCATGGGGTGCCACGTGTGTACTGCCCATTGGTCCAGGTATGCGGAAGCAATGCATTAGCCCAAGCCTTGGCCATATATGGAGTTGTTTACTCCAGGAGCGCTCACCCCCTGAGAGGGTGGAAGGCGGAAACCGGTGCCATCCTAGGGCGCTGCTACACGCAGTCCCTACACCCAGGCCCTAGCAGAATCTTGCTCATGGCAGGGAAGTGCACTACTGTGAGCTACTTCTAGCCCCCTCTTTTGCTATTACAAATAATGCTACAATAAAAAACTGGACACACATATAATTTTATAATGAATTTAAGAATAATTTCTATTATTTCTGTGAGAACTGCTTTCTATGTCTTTTGGGGTTTTGGGTCTTTTCCTTATTGATTTTTAAGTGTTTTTATATTAGAGGTATCAACCTTTTATCCCTGATACAAATTGCACTTTTTTTTCTCATTTACTATCTGTTTTGATTTCATTAACACTTAAAAAATTTATGTGATACAGGGTCTTGCTATACAGTTCTGACTTGTAGTGATTCTCCTGTCTCAGCCTCCTCAGTGCTGAGATTACAGGAGTGCACCACCATGCCTGGTTTTGGGGCCTACTCAGCATGCAGTATCAGGGATCGAACTAGGGTCTTTGGCTTGCCAGGCAGGAGCTTAGACTGCCAAGCTATCACCCCAGCCCTCTGAGTCTGAAAACAGGAGGATCACTACCTCCTTGAGAGTCCCTTAGATGAGAAGGAACATGTAGGACTCCTTCTCTGGGGCCTTTTTTTTTTTTTTTTTTTTTAATGTATTTAGTACAGGGTCTCACTGCACAGATTGGACTCACAGTGATCCTCCTGTTTTCAGCCTCCATAGCGCTGGGATTACATTTGTGCACCACCACGCCTGGACTCTTGTCACCAGACAGGCATGTGGGACCAGGGATTGAACCCTGGTCCCTGTGCTTGCCAAAGCAGGCGCTTAGTCCACTGAGCTATCTTGCCAGCCCCTGGGTTCAATCTCTAGCAGCAGCAGCAACAGCATCAACAAAGGCAGCAGTTACAGCTATAGGGTGTAAAGTTTCCCCACTGCTACAGGATATGAGAAACAAATTATTTTTTTTAATCCTGGGCTCAAACCCAGAGTCTTGTGTGCTTTATGTTCCACCTCTGGGCTATACTCCCAGCTATGATATGTGACTGTACAGTGCCAGAAAGCTGGTACAACAATGTTCTTCCACCCCAGGAAAGAGGCTGGCTTCCTGTCAAGTTCCTCAGGTCGAGGCACAGAATGTCCTCAGGAATGAGGAACTGATCCCTGGCATGATCTACTAGATTCTGTTTTTAAACTGCTCTTATCAATCCCATCTCCACCCTTTCAAGTTTGGAAACTGCCACATGCCTGTTTACATAGAGAAATTGGGTAAAACAAGACCATTTCTTGAGGGCACTACTTGGCAGGTGTAGCTCTGAAGCTTGATTCGAGCCCATTTTTGTAGGAGTGGCAGGCAGTACACAGTGTTTCCTCCCAGAGTGTGACACAAGTATGATCTGAGATATTCTCTGTGTATAAGGGATTTGTGGTAAAGTAAGTTTGTTACTCTATATTTATATGCCACTTCTAAAGTTTGTAAGTACACTGCTATCATAAAAGCTCTGATAATTTATTTAAGGGAAAAGCAGAGAGCAATGAGAATTTAAAAAAGAAATGTGTAATTTAGATGTATAACCCCTTATTTACATGACTTTTCATAACTTTGATAAAAGTAATATAAATAGTAGGAAGCTATAGTTTCTGAGATGCCAGGGAAGCAGGGGACATGCAAGCACCAGAGGCAGAGGCCTGACCTGTAGACATGCATGTGACTGCATCATGTTGGGGGCAGAGGCAGCAGGAGTGTGGGGGACAGATCGGCTAGGCAAGGACTGAGGAGAGCTGGGGCCGGGAGTGGGCTGGGAGGTAGGCAGGCCCCTCAGGCTGAGGTGCTAGAGCCCAGGTCCAGCAACCTGGGAGTGAAAAACACTCTACCTTCACATGCAGGAGGAACCTTTTCTCTCTTTTTTTTTTTTTTTTTTTTTTAGGCTGCATGTCTAGTTTATTGCCATTAGAAAAATATCATCTGCATAAAATTCTGGTCCACTTTTTCACCCTTCCCCCTATCATTCAAGTTTGAATAATTTGATTTTACTCAAACAAAAGCATAATCATAAGTGTATCATGAAAACTAAATATTCTACCTTGTTGCTAAGTTAATAGGATTTAACTGCCTTAGGTGTGTTCCGCAACATCTCCCAGGACTGGCTCCTCTTTCTGTAGCTGTTTCCCCTTCCTTCCTGTGATGGTGACAGTGATGGTGACGGTGATGGTGATGGCACCGGCACCCAGTGCAGGGTGAGTGCGCTTGAGCGGAAGCCCCCCAGCATCAATGGATTCATCACCTAGCCTCCCACTCATGTCAAATCTCCCTCAGGTGGAATTTCCTTAACATCGAGTAGTTTAGTCACACTTGCTCTTTCCAACATGGGTTATAAGAATTAAGATACAAAAACAAAAAAATGAAGAATTAAACTACTGATCCAAAGCCAAGATGGAAATTCCCAGGGAGACAGCCCTATGCTGCTCAGTCACACTGTTGTGAAAGGCTCTTTGACAGCCACTCCTTCGATCTCCACTCGGGTTCCTATGGGCAAAGTGACGACCTGGTAGGCAACTGGAGCAGGAAAATGACTCTTGAAATACTGCTTGTAGATTTCATTGACAGCAGCAAAATCGTTTATGTCAGCCAAGAAGATAGTTGTTTTTACAACGTTGCTGAAGCTGCAGTCCGCTGCTTTCAGAATTTCGCCCATGTTGGTGAGAACTTGTTTTGCTTCTACTACCCCTCCTGGCACAAGCCGTCCACTCACAGGGTCTAAGCCAACTTGCCCCGAAATGTAAAGGGTCCTGTCGACTAACACAGCTTGACTGTAAGCCCCAATGGGCTTTGGGGCTTTCGCCGAGTAGATCACCTTTTTGATCAGGGACGTCATAGCTAACCCTTGTCAGTAGGTGAAAACTGTTAGTTGCAGCGGAGATGCGCCCCACTTCACTGACCCAGCCGCCTGGAGAGGCCTCTTTTTTTCTTTATTATAACTTTATTTCAGGTTTTTTGAACCAGGGTCTGGCAGTGTACTTCAGGGTGGTATTGAGCTTATGGCAATCCTCCTGCCTTAGCTTCTTCAGTGCTGAGATGGCTGATGTGGGCTTCAATACCTGCCTTCATCATAACTGAAAAAATGTACATCGGAGCACACACACATACACACAAAATAATAAAAAATAAGGTTTCTGAGAGACACGGTCAGATTTGTTTTTGCATGAAGCTTCCACTCAGACCGTAATATTGTAATTTTCCTTTTATTTATTTATTTATTTATTTAGTACAAGGTCTACAGGGTCTCACTACATAGATCGGACTCATAGTGATCCGCCTGTGTTCAGCCACCCAAGAGCTGGGATTGCAGGCATCCACCACCACACCCGGTCTCAAACTCCATCTCAGCATGCTCTGGGAATGGGGCCGGCACAGCAGGCCAGGGATTGAACATGGTCCCTACTTTTGCCTAAGCAGGCACTTTAATCCACTGAACTATCAGGCCAGCCATAGGTTGATTTTTTTTTTTTTTTCTTGCTAGCTCAGGCTGTCTTAAGGGCAGTCTGGTGTGGCTTGTGGAGCTGGGGAAAGAACGGCGGTCCCCTGTGCCTGACTGAATTTGCCCAAGCAGGCGCTTTAAACAACTGAGCTAAGCCGCAAGCCCCTCCACATTCTTATTATGTCCTGTTAGTAATTTGTTTTGATTCTTTATTATAATCACTTGGGACAAGGTCTGGTCTTGAACTCTGGACTCAAGTGATCCTCCTGTCTGAGCTTCCTAAGTAGCTTAGTCCACAGGCACGTGCCACTGTGCCTGTTAGTATTATTGTTATTAAAATTCTTCATACCTGCTCTTTATAAATAATTGAAAACTTTTTCTTCATGACTGAGTATACTAATATCTGCAAGTAATTACCATTTATTAGGATTTAGTTTTATATATATTCATCTCATTTATTTGAGACAGTCTTAATATGTAATTCAATCTGGCTTTGAACTCACTGTGGAGCCCAGGGCAGCCTCAAACTTATAGCAATCCTTCTGCCTCAGCCACCTGAGTTCTGGAATTACAGTTGTCACCACCATACCTGGCTACAACATTCTTGTAGAAAAGTTCCTTCAACAATTTTATGTTGGCCAGACATGGTAGCATGTCTCCCCAGCACTCAGGCTGGGGAGATGGCTCAGTGGAATAAGTGCTTCCCTGGCAAGTGCAAGGGCCTGAGTTCAATCCTCAGTTCCGCCAAAATAAATAAATAAATTAATAATAATAACAAAATAAAATATCAGCACTCAGGAAGTTGAGGCAGGAAGATTGTCATGAGTTCGAGGCCAGCCTAGGCTACATAGTGAGTTCAAGATCAGCCTAAACTATATAATGAGACCCTTTGTCAAAATAAAACAAGGGCTGGCCAAACAGCCCATCCCCAGGGAATGCTAAGACCCACCCCTGGGCACCCTGAGATGGCAAGTGAGACTGGGTGTGGTAGTGCATGCCTGTAATCCCTGCACTTGGGAGCCTATAAAGAGGACAATCAGTACAAGTCCCATCTAGTAGTGAGACCCTGAACACCCTGTAGACCCTTCCCTAAAATACAGAAAACAAAAAACAATTAACAACAACTAGTTCTATGGTGAACTGTACATGTTTGGTTATTTGAAGCATTGGATTGTTTTATGTGTCTGAATATACCTTATAAATCAGAACACCGAGGTCGGGGAGATGGCTCAGTGGAATAAGCACTTCCCTGGCAAGTGCAAGGGCCTGAGTTCAATCCTCGGTTCCACCAAAAAAAAAAAAAAAAATCAGAACACCTTTTTTTGTACTGGGAGTTGAACTCAGGATCTTGCATTTCCAGGTGGGCACTGTGCTGCTAAACTATATCCCAAGCCTCAATTTCTCTTAAAATAATGTGTATGTTAGATAATAATATCCCTACATATATATTTCTTTTTGCATCTTTTCATTTCTGTATAAGTTTTATACATTTTATACTACATGAAACTCTTTAAACTTTATTTTAATGTTCTAAAGGATTTATGAGCAGATTTTAAGTATATTTTAATAAATATGTAACTCTGCATAGGTTAATTAAGCATTCTTAAACATTACTTAAATGACATACTAGAAGAGTATACAAATATTTTTGGAATTAGCATCATAGTAGAATCAAAGGTTAGGAAAAAAATGAACAAGAGAACAAAATCAGATTCAAACAATTCTGAAAAAATTTAAGATACCAATGGTCATTCATGACCTATAATTTTTATTTTCTGTATTAATAAAGTACCCCCACACATTATAGATAGTACAATAAATATTTTTGAACTCATAAGAAATAGTGCTTTTGTCTTACATATTGTGACTGAAAATTAAAAACCCCCTAAACAAAAAATTTGAAGCTGAGCTTACCTGGGAATGAATACATTTATCTGTTAATATATATATATATATATATATATATATATATATATATATATATATTGGCGGAACCAGGGATTGAACTCAGGCCCTTGTGCTTGTCAGGGAAGCGCTTATTCCATTGAGCCATCTCCCTGGCCCCCTATCTGTTATTATAAAAAGGGGGAGAATCCTGAGACAAGGTCTTTTGGTTTGCTGTACAGTAATGCTTACGCTGTCATTCCACAAACATCCACAGATGGTTTATTTTGCCCAAGGCTCCAAGTTTGGCAATAAGGAATATAAGGCTGAATGGGAAACAGAACCTAGCTTTAAATAACAGATGAGCTGGGACAGGAGATTATAAAGACATAAATACTTGTAATTATAATTAAGTAAAATACTCCAAGCCAAATCAAAGTACACACGTGGCACAGATTACTTTTATTTTTTGGTGATATCAGGGATAGAACTGAGGACCATGCGCTTGCTAGGCAAGCATTTATTTCACTGAGCTATCTCCCCAGCTACAGATTACTTTTATTTATTTTTGACTTATTTATTTTTTTGGTGGAACCAGGGATTGAACTCAGGCCCTTGCGCTTGCCAGGGAAGTGCTTATTCTACTGCGCCATCTCCCCAGCCCCTGCACAGATTACTTTTAATTGGATGGAAATCATACTTACGTGTTAACATAAATAAGCAGGTTTAGAATTTAGCTTTTAAGTAGATGAAAAAAAGCTTTAGACAAATGTAAAAAAGGTTTATTCATTTTGTTTACAAAATAATTTTACTCACAAAAATTAAAGACATTTTCCAAAATATAAACTTCCTTATTTCTTTAAAGGCTAGTCTTTTCTTGAAAACACCACCACTAATTTACTTCACTTAAAGTGCTAGCGAGGGGGCTGGTGAGATGGCTCAGTGGTCTAAAGCACCTACTTAGAACAAGCTTAGCAAAGCACAGGGACTGTGGTTCAATCCCCCGGCACCACATGCCAGCCAGCCCGCCCCCTGGTGGGCTGAGCTGGCCACACACACACACACACACACACACACACTGAATAAATAAATAAAAAAAAATAAATAAAGTGCTAGCGAGTGGGCATTCTGCCATTCATCATAATCACTGGCATTGTTCAGAATTAAATATTGTCACAGAATTCATTATAACCAATTGTAATAAAACTAACTAGGAAGCGTACAGAGCAGAGTAGTGAGTAGGAGTAACAACCACATCAAGTCAAAGTTGTTTCTGTTTTTGTTTTTTGCAATTACAAGACACAATAAACAATCCATTTACTCTAGGTACTAAGCTAACACTGTCACACTCTTTGAAAGATGTGTTGTAGTTTTCCTATTGGCTTGTTGATGGAATCAATAGTCAAGGAAAAAGCTTTGTAACTTAACTACTCACAAAGGAGGGCTGGGATCGTAAATGTTGAGGAAAGACTGCTTTGTTCATCTGATTCTGTCTTTCAGAACTTTATGGTATTGATGTTTTGCTTTTACTGACAGAGTAAGCAATTTTAAAAAATATTCAGTCAAGGTGTTGTAATTCTTAACACAAGTTCACAGGCAAATCAATAATTTAAATACAAGTTTTTATTACAATGTTGAACATATTTCATCTGAACAAAATTAACTTAGTAGACTGGCTTGAGGTTTATAATTATTAGGGTTCTTTCACTTCAAAAGTGTCATATGGGGGCTGGGGAGATGGCTCAGTGGAATAAGCGCTTCCCTGGCAAGCGCAAGGCCTGAGTTCAATCCCCGGTTCCGCCAAAAAAAAAAAAAGTGTAATATGTCACAGTTATTAGTCTTTTTCTAAATGATTGTTTAGCGACAGTTAGTGCTAGGTTCCCTGAAAGAGCTATTTATATCTTGAGATTCTGGATACGTTTTTGTTTCTGACCTTTAATAAAAATGTTAATAAAGGTTTGTAGTCATTTCTTATCACTGGAACACAAAGATCTCTACTACATGTGCTGTGGAAGTGAGCACACTCAAGGATTCTCTAAAAGGACACATTATTTTGTAGTTATGTGGAGTTAATTTTATCAGAGAACTTACCATCCCAAGGTCTCTGCTTACATCTTACTGGTTTCTATAAAAAAATACTAGAATGTTCTGCGTGTTCCAATTAGATCTGGAAAAGAAAATAATACGCTTCCATTTTGACCAAATCTATGTTCATTTTAAAACAACTGCCATCATGTGTCTCTTCGACGTGAAGGAATACGTCCTTGGGCGTATTTTCTGTTTCGTGAAAAATTAGCGAAAGAGAACTCCGAAGTAATTGCCAAGACAGAGCAGAGGCAGGAAACGACAGGCAGGAAAACCACCCCACTGCTCTCAATCAGAAAGCCGGGGAAATGTTTTCTTACTCCGAAACACTGAACATTTCCTGCCAGAACACGGGGAGCGCCGAGTTCAGCTGGGGAGAAGCGGCGCACGCTGGGGGACGGGCTCCCACAGCGCTCTCCACAGCCAGGAGCACGCTGCTTCTGGGCCGGGTCCCCCAGAAAACTCGCGCCGCGGGGTGCAGAGGCCGCGCTGCGGGCCCACGTGTGAGCGAGCGCGCGCGCCCTCGTGCTTCCGCCCGCGAGTTCAGCCCGCGCGTGGCGCCCCGGGCCCTTCGTCCCCCAGCCCGGCCCACGACCCCCGCCCCGTGCCGCCCCGTGCCGTGGGTCCCCTCCGCGTGCCAGCGCATCTAGTGTTTCGGCTTTCACGCTCGGGAGTGACTGACCAGGGCTCGGAACTGCTGAGGGTCACCGAACCGCTCAGGGCATGAATTCCGGGCCCCGTGCCGCCACGGTGCGCGGCGCCACGGTCCCCGCGAACCTGCCACCCTGAAGAGGGCCCGCGCCTCCCCACGTCCCGCGCCACAGGCTTCCGGGCGAGCCCTCGCGGGTACGGGCTCCGGCGCTGCGGAACCCGGCGCGCGGGGCTTGCTGTCCTGAGGGAGCGGGAAAGTGGCAGCGCCGCGGGCTGGGGGCGGGCCGGGCGGCCTGGGAGCGCGCGCCAGAGGTCGCGGCGCGGGAGGCGGGGGCGGCGGCCACCTGGGCGACGCGGCCGCCATTGCCTGCTCCCGAGACCCCTCCCCACAGGCCGCCCACCCGCCCTCTCGCGGCTGGTCCTGCGAGGCTGCTCTTCCGCGGCCAGACGGAGAGCGGCAGTGTGTCTCCGCCGGCCGCGCTCGCCGCGAGGCTGCCCCCTACGGCCGCGGCTGCTTCGCGACCCAGCAGCGCTGGAGAGTGCAGCGGCGACGGCGGGAAAGGCTCGCGGTCCCGCTCCGGCCCGGCCTCGACGCCCTCCGTCCGCGCCGGAGCAGGTAAGGGCAGCGGGTGGGAGGCAGGCGGCGGGCTAGGCTCGGGCCCGGGAGGAAAGGCGTCCCGGGGCGCTGAGCCGGAGCCGAGGCCCGGGGGCGGCGGCGGGCAGGGGGGCGCTGCGACGGAACGCGAGGCTCCGGGCGCGGGGTGCGTGGACCGCGGGCCGGGCCGCCTCGCGGGAGCGAAGGGAAGCGTCGGCGGAGGAGGGCCCTGGTGCTCTGCCCGAGGCCGGCGGAGGCTGTTCGGCCTCCCCGCGCCTGGCGGGCCTCCAGGCCCCGACACACCCCTCTGCCCCGCGGCTCCCCCGCGCGCCCGCCCGCACTTGCCCTCGCGCCCCACTTGGCGCCCGCTCGCCGTGTTCCAGGCAGAGCCTTCTGGGAACTTGAGGCCACCTTTCCGAGCACGGCGACCTGGCAGAGCGGCTTATTTACTCACTTGTCCAGACTCAAACACGCCGCTCCTCCGCACGCTCAGAGGGGGTACTGCGAGGACTCTTTCCCTCGCCCGACGTTCGTGCGTCTTGATCCTCGCCCACTCCCCGCTCCATCTGCAACTTTGAGCCTGCCCGGACCTTACGGGAGCCCTTCGGTCCCCGGGACCCTCTCCCAGCTCCGCGTGGAAATTCGGCTTCCATAGAGTGAGTCATCCCACCCCGAGGCAGTTTCTCTCGAGGTTTTGGTTACTTCTGGTTTTTATCCCCCTTTAAAAAGAGCTAGAAGAATTAAAAGAAAACATAGATGCGGATCGTGGTCTGTATTGCCTTCAAGGAATCTTGCTACGGGCAACTGTCTGGAGAGCGCAGATCTGACATCTGGCCGGGACAGGTTTGTACACATTCTCGCCATGCAGTGGTTGTACTGTCTCCATAGCACAGTTCACACTTTCGGGCAGGATTGGCTGGTTTTTCTACTCCACTTTTTTAAGCCAATCGAGAAGCGCAGCTTGCCTGGAGACTGTTTAACTCAGAAAAGATGGGGATTGGTTGAACTTGGAGAAGAAAATCCTGGAGAAGAACCTGGCGTTTTATTTTATTTTTTTTTAACCTGGCGTTTTAGAAAACAAAGGTTGACAACTTCTTTTCCCCTCTTTTTTTTTTTTTTTTTTTTTTTAAACCGTGTTCTCACTATGCAGCTCAGGCAGGTCTTGAGCTCACTTTGTAGCCAACGCTGGTCTCCAACTCACGACGACTCTCTTGCCTCAGCCTCCCGAGTGCTTGGATTACAGGTGTGCGCCACCACACTGGGTTTTGCCTTTCCTTTTACACAAAAAGGAAAAAAAGAAAAAGAAAAAAATTAGTGATACCACTATCAGCTTTTTTGTACAGGTTGTTTTTGAGACTGAGCCTCCCTGTGTATTACAGGCTGGTCTTTAACTCACTATCCACGTCCTGACTAGCCTCGAACTCGCAGCCCAATCCTCGTGCCTCAGCTTCCCAAGTGTTGAGATTATAGTTTTAATTTCCAGTGTTTTCTGTCCAACCCGTTTTCTTTTGAAGCTTGCATTAATGCTTATTTAATTTTTGTGGAATGAACTCTTATACGCTTTAAGAAATCTAAATAAATGATTTTTATTATTTTTTATTTTATTTTATTTATTTATTTATTTATTTATTTATTTTTTTGTGTAGAACCGGAGATTGAACTCAGGCCCTTGCCACTTGCCAGGGAAGCGCTTATTCCACTGAGCCATCTCCTTGGCCCCCACTTTTAATTCTTATTCTGCAGCTTTTAAATTGCTGTGTGAGAATGGGGTATGGTAGAAAGAACAGGAAACAGTTGGCTGCTCTCTATAATTTATTTCCTTATTTATTTTTCTTTTTGAAATGGTCTTGCTATGTGGTTCAGGCTGGCTATAAATTCACTTTGTAGCCCAGGCTGGTCTTGAACTCACAATGAGCCTCCTGCCTCTGCCTCCTGAGTGCATGCTGGGATTACAGTTGTGTGCCACTACGCCTGGCTCACTGTATAATATAGTTAACGCAAAACATGCCAACCTATGAAACAGTGATTCCTACAGATCAGCCTGCAGTTGACTGGTGTTGCTTTGAAGGGGAGGGTACGGGAGCCCAGACCGGCATAGAAAAAATGGGTTGGGGTTATGGTAAAGGTGTGCTTCTTTTGTCATTAAAATATATCAAAGTAGATACAGATTTAGGTTTTTTGTTTTTTTTCCTCCTGTGTATTTACTACAGGATCTACAGGGTCTCACTAAGGACTCATGATCCTCCTGTTTTCAGCCTCCCAAGGATTTAGCTGTAATCCTCCTTCAGCACTGGGGATTATAGGCATGCATGACCACACCCAGTCTTAATAGCTGGCTCAGCATGTTTGGGGGTAGGGCCAGCAGGGCAGGCCCGGGATGGAACCACCTGCTGAGCTCTGCCCAGGCAGGCACTTTAGTCCGCTGAGCTATTTTTTTTTTCTTGGTGAGGATTGAACTCAGGTCCTTGCGTGTGCCAGGGAAGTGAACTCAGGTCATCTTTTAAAACGTTTGAGAGAGGGTGTGGTGTGGTTTCTTGTTCCTGTAATCCCAGCACTTGACAGGCTGTAAGCAGGAGAATCACTACCGGTCTGATCTAGTAGTGAAACCCTGAACACCCTGTAGACCCTTCCCTGAAATACAGAAGAAAAAAAAAAAAAAAGATCACAACATAGGGGCTGGGGAGCTGGCTCAGTAGAATAAGCGCAAAGACCTGACTGAGTGAGTTCAATCCCCAGTTCCACAAAAAAATAAAACCTTCCTGTTCTCATGGTTGTATATGTATTTTAATATGCAAAATATAACTATTCATCAATGTGATTTTTTTAATAAAAATCTGGGTTTGCCATGGCAAGCAGTGATGCTTCATATCTATTAAATGCCTTTAAGAGTTGTTTATTTTGAAAAGAGTGTTTTTTGATCCTCAGTATGCAGGCCATAAATAAGCCATAGATTATCATCATTGCCCTTCATAGCAATAAATACAACAGTGCTTGTGTATGTGTGTATGCCAGTTTTAAGTGCTTTACAAATAGCATTGTATTTGAGTTTCACAGCTGCAATTTTCACTGTTCTTAGTACTCTTTTCCAAATGAGGAGACAGTTTAGAAAGTTGCTTTAAGTCACGGAAAGTAGTGTATTTACATCACAAAGCCAAGATTAAGACAGACCTAGATCTTTGTGATCACTCTTTTTGTGTGTGTGTGTGTGTGTGTGTGTGGCCAGCTCAGCCCACCAGGGGGCGGGGCTGGCTGGCATGTGGTGCTGGGGGATTGAACCGCGGTCCCTGGGCTTTGCTAAGCTTGTTCTAAGTAGGTGCTTTAGACCACTGAGCCATCTCACCAGCCCCATGTGATCACTCTTAATGCATTATTTTCATGACTCTCTGAAACTAATGTTTGATACTGAGTAAATTACTACATTTTTCACAACCCATTCAACCCACCAACTGTAAGATTTTTTTTTTTTTTTTGGTGGTACCAGGGATTGAACTCAGGACCTTGTGCTTTCCAGGCAAGCATTTATTCTACTGAGCTATCTCCCCAGCCCCGTGTACTGTCATTTTATATACAACTGCAAAGAAAAAAAAAATACCACAAATCTCCAAGTAAGTTGTGAAGTGTTACTCTGGGATGCACCCCAACTATAGAAATGTAACACTATGTCTTAAAATTAAATACAGGGTCTCCCTGTAGTTCAGACTGGCTTTGAGTTCACTGTGTAGCCCAGGCTGGCCTCAAACTTGCAGGGATCCTTTTGCCTCAGCCTTCCAAGTGCTGGGATTACAGTCATGAGCCACCATGCCTAGCCTCAACTGAGCATTTTTTCCTTCCATATTGCCAGTAATTCAGTTTGCTTAAACATTTTGCTCCTTTTCTTTCTTTCTTTTCTTTTCTTTTCTTTTCTTTTTTTTGGTGGTACCAGGGATCAAACTCAGGACTTGGTGCTTGCCAGGCAAGCTCTTATTCCACTGAGCTATTTCCCTAGCCCCCTCAATTTGCTTATATAAAGCCATATATGTTTTGATATTCTGATTTTTTTTTTTTTTTTGGGGAACTGGGGATTGAACTCATTATTTGTTGTAAAGTCTTTTTTTTTTTTTTTTATTTTTTTGTGTGTGTGTGTGTGTGTGTGTGTGGCCAGCTCAGCCCACCAGGGGCGGGGCTGGCTGGCATGTGGTGCTGGGGGATTGAACCGCGGTCCCTGGGCTTTGCTAAGCTTGTTCTAAGTAGGTGCTTTAGACCACTGAGCCATCTCACCAGCCCCTGTAAAGTCTTCTTTACAACAAATACCATTTTGTTATGTGCCAGGCAAGCACATATTCCACTGCGCCATTTCCTTGGTCCCTTGAATTTTGGCTCATTGAATTTATAAAATTTTCTTACTGAAGTTTTTATTTGTTTAATTTTTAAAGTTCAGACTGGTCTTTAACTCACTGTGTAGCCCAGGCTGGCCTTGAATTCGTAGCAGTTTTCTTGCCTTGGCCTGCTGAGTGCTGGGATTAGAGATGTGTGCCACCATGCCCTGCCTGATGTCTTAAAATAGGCCTACTTGATAGATTGTTAGACTGTTGGAAGATAGCCTTAATAAGGTTTAGGAAGCATTTTACCTTTTTGCTCTATACCTTGAATCTCAGCATTGTCCTCCAGAAATCATTGATACATCTAGATTAATCAATTCTGTCTGGATGCATAGCATTATGCATACATTAATGTCTTTGACGAGAGTAAACTGGCTAGGTCTGCTAGACTTATATGACTACTAGTCAGTGAAAGTAGTAGATCAAAGAAGTGTCAATTTTTTATGTCTTTTTTGTTTTTATTTTATAATTGTTTAATACATGCTTACTATTAATTAGTTTGGGCGACTAGCGTGAATAATCCTAATTTTTTGTTCCAAAGCAGAACAGTTTTAACTTTTTGAACTTACTGTGTTTCCTGGATAGTGTGTCTTCACTACTGTCATTACCCTCCTCTCCCTCAACTCTCTGCTAATCTACAACTTAAAGATGAAGGTAGTATTT